GCTGTCTCGTCTTGTCAAAAGACTACACTGGGTGGCTTTGACATGGTATCACATTACCTTGATGCTCCTTACTTCAAGGAAGCCACATGCATTTGTCTCTGGCCACAAGATCACCCCTATGTAACCTTCTGCAATGTAAGGATGGACACTGAGGTTGCAGCCTGTACTTTGCTCCAGCAAGAAGAATTCATAGTAGGAGGCCTATCTTTCTGTACCTCATCGGGTGATGTCACTGAGCCAATCCTGAGCACAGGAGAACAGGGAGCACCACAGCTGCGCATGGTTGTGCAGGAATCAGGCACCCATACCACGAATGCTGTACATTTACCAAGGCGCGTCTCGGGGCTCTAGAGTAGACTGCTAGAGGTGCTTGACTCCGTGCAGTATCCACTTTCCCCTGGTCCAATCTCTGCTGCTGTTAATTTTCACTGTCCAAATTATCTTGGGTCTGTAATCTTGGGCCACAGAGATAACCAAAGGTATCAACCCAGGGAGGCGAAGCCAGTTCTCATCCCCCTCACCCCTGCTTTTTGCTTAATGTCTTCAGGAATCCTGTGATGCAGAGAGACAAGACTAGGGACAAATAGTCACAATTCTGCCCCAGGAAACAGAAGTATAATTTCCAAAAGTCAGCAAATTCCCACAGATCATCTCCTGCTATGAGGGTGGCACGGAAGGGAGGGGCCAGGGAGAAGGGATGCAGGAGCTGCACTGGATGCAGGCATTTCCCCAATCCTGTGTACACAGGAGACCCCAACCACAAGTGTCAGGGTGGAGGATTCCCACTGCTGCATCTCAGCCACTGTCTTGAAGAACAAGCGCACGGAGCTTGAGGAACTAAACTTCTTGTGTGTGTGTAGTGCTGGGATTTGAACTCAAGACTACACGCTAATTAGGCAGGTGCTCTACAATTGAGCCAGCCCTCCAGCCCTCTAAACTGCCTGTTGCAGAAGGAAAGCCAGGAAGATTGACCATAGAACTGGGCTCCCCACCCACAATGACCTGGGCTGGCCCAGAATCCCTGTGGCCATTGGGAAGCTCAGCGGAGCTTGTCCACAGAACTGACATTAGGCACCTCGTGACTCTGAGACTCTCTGCAACATTGCTTTGGTTTTGCTCAGCCCAGGTCTGCCCACCTTACTGGATACTGTGGGAAGCAGCCCCAACATCAATCAGCCTGCCTGGGACAGCCATGATTAGATTATAAAATCATAACTGTGGTCGTTGTATGTCTGCAGGCATAATTACATCAGCATACTAATGCTGTTTTAATGGTCTCTAATGATGTAATAAGAAATAATGGAATTTATTTGACAGTTACATAACCATTAACAAAACATATTAAGCATAACTGGTACTTCCATAAAAGCACAGACGAAGTCGGCAAGCACCCTCCCTGCCATGTGTCCTCTCTTTTCAGTTCCTGGAACAATGAATAGCTCTGAGGATGTGCTCTTAAACACAATGCCAGGCAAGAAGGGTGCTACCAGTCCTCCCTCCTGAGAGGCTCCGGAGGCCCAGCTGACACCTGAGTCAGTCCTTGGAGATTATGCCCATTGCAGCTGGGCCCAGGGGATTCTCAGGACATGTACATGTGGCTTAGACGCCCAAGGGCACAGCTATGATACCCCATGCATGTGCAGCAGGTACAATGATTCACACTGGAGAGACAGACGTTGCTGGGCTGGGACTGGAGACTCTGGAGAAGGCTTTGCAACCAGCAAGGACCAGATGTTAGCTCAGAACTAGGATAAGGACTGAGAGGAACAGGGGAAGCGAGCAAAGGCCACAGGAGAAGCTGTGGGTCAAATGCTCCAAGGCCTTAAGCAGGATGGAATACAGGTTCCATTCCTAGAGACAGCAACCACCAGTGCGCTGAGCAGGAAGGAGACCAGGGAAGAGATATTTACAGAGGATTTAGCTGGAAACGTGCAGGGCTGCTCCTCAGAGAGGATAAGACACCCCTGTGCTGGGAATCGGTGCTCCGGCTCACGGGTCTGCATAGGAGGACAGGGCAGGAGAGAGGCAGAGAGCAGACAGGAAAGATCAGCTCTGTGGCTAAACCCAGTGCACCAGAGTCCTTTTGTCTGGTGCCTCCTCCCTGTGGTGGCTTGACAAACTGCCATCCTCTATTCAGAGGCTCCCGGGACTGTCTATGCCAAATGGTGGGGAGAAGTTACCCCATGAACACACAGGGGGCCTGTAGGGGAGCAGCAAGAGAAATGAGGCCAGGCCCCAGGCGAGGCTGGGGAGAAAGGAAAGAAGGAGGTCAGGCGAGGACACCATGTTGCTGGACTTTGAAAACCATGTCATGTGTGAAAAAGAAACTCTCTCTTCAAAGGTCTTCAAAGACTATAGTGTAGCCACCCAGGGTGCCAGAAAAACTTGAAAAGTAGCCTCCCCTCTTGTCTTGGGAAATCTCTGTCCTGGCTCAGTGTGGCCTCTGGAGACCTTGCCTGGTAAAGGAGGACGGGTGCGGCCATGCTGAGCTTTGGTGCACCACTGAGGCCAACTACAACCCCCACTCCCCAGCAGGCTCTGATTTCCCCCCAACACCCAGTAACCGTGCTGGAGTAGGTAGGAGATGATAGGTGACAGGAGTGGCCTGGGCACTGCTATGTCAGGGAAAGGCTTCTATAAGCTGCTTACATGGTGGCCATAGAACTCCCACCTGACCTCACTGCCCTCTCCCATCCTATCCTGAGAATAAAGTAGCTCCACTCCACGTCTCAGTGTCTCATGTGTGCAGCCTGCAGAGCAGCCGGGTTTGGTCTCCTTCCTGAGTCACAACACAAATGGCTCAGGGGTGGCCACCGAGGGCAAACCTCTGCAAAATATGAAGGACCCCAGGCACACTAACCATCACTGGCCACCATGGAAAGACTTTGCTAAGAATAAAGAACATTCAGTGAAAGCCCCTGTGGGGTTGAGGGAGCTCCAGGCAATTTCCTTCTCCATTGCTCTTTGTAAGGTGCCCAGGACCATGATGGCCTCTGCCCAGCACTCAGGCCACTCACTGTACTCCTGTGACACATCTCTGCTTGTCCTCCACTGCCCTGAGAACCCTCCCACAACAGCCCTCTTTCAACACAAACACAGACACACATCCACTCGTTCTCTTGTGCATCAGCAACTAACTGGGCCTGGGCGGCTTCAGGTAAACTTCCTAGGGCTGTGATACCCACCCAGATCCAATGTACAGAGTGAGAGTGAGGCTGGTCAGGGTGAGCAAGTCGTTCTGTCACACTGGTATTTAGTACGTAGGCATCACTCTGTAGCCACTGGGCCAGGACATATCAAACGTGAACCATGGAGCCATGGCCTGGTGTGAGACAGCCAGTGTCTAAGGACATGTGGTGAGGAATGGACAGTGACCCAGTCCAGATGCAGCCCACAAGATGACACCTTTCACTCTTCAGGGACATAACAGCCAGATCCTCCATGGGAGCCTGACAGCTAGGAACTGGGGAATCCCCCTGCCAAGACCCTCATTCTTCTCTGAAGTCACACTCTGCCCATAACCAGATAAATCCTGTATTCTACACCTTCGTTTCTCACCTGTTTGCACATCCTCTGCACACGGCTGCCTCCTACACCTGTCTTCTCTTGTCTGATCTATTCATCTTCTGAAGCATTCCTACACCTACCCTGTTCTTTCGCCTGGTCTGCCTTCCTCTGCATCCTCCTCTACCTATGTTCACTCACCTATACCGTGCGTCCTCTGCTGTCTGCATCTTCCTACACCTTCCCTCTTCCCTCACCTGGTCTATACACCCTATGCCCTCTACAGCCTTCTATACCTCGCCTGATCTGTTTCTCTGATGGCTGTCGGTGTGCTGTGCACTCCTCACCTGTGCTGCCTTCCTGAGCAGTAGGTGTGGGTCATCCCTGCAGGCCCTGTACATGAGAGGCTCCCTGCGGTCCTCCTGGCCCTGACCCATCTGTGAATGTTTCCTTCATGTTGAAGGAACATGTCCATCCCTTGCCATGGGAGAGGGAGAGGGGTGAGGTATGATAAGCACCCCAGGAGGAAGGCAGCACCTCTGGCTGGGACTCCTTGTGCCTTCATCTCTCCACTTCTGGAGGTTTCTGGCCCCCAGGCTGGGTGGGCCTCCTCTTATATGTCCCTTCACCCTACAGCCTGTCACCATACCCTTCTCTGCCTTTTTCCAGTACACGTCACATTCAGGGCAGGACTGTGGCTGGATGGGATGCCCAGTCCCATTGCAGGCTAGGTCACAGCAAGTGTTCAAAGTGCATTGCTGTAGGTGATTGCCAAGAGAGCATCTGTAAACAGTGGGTGGAGGCCAGCCTGGAAATCATACACATAAACAGGGGCCCAGGTAAGCCTCAGTTCAGTTCTTGCTGATCCACTCCGTGTGTCGGGATTGTTCCTTGATCCCTTGCACATCCCCTCTCCTAGCAGCCTGCACGCTTCACAACCAATGCCCTGGCCCTGGCAGAGCCAGCCTGCCTCCACATTTCACTCCAGCATCTGCATGCCTCTGAAGGGACAGAGAGGACTGGCTTTGTGCATGTCCTGTGCCTCTATGGCCTCTCTCACCAATGAGACAAGGACTCTGGCTACACTGTAGTCACCTCAGCAACACACTGAGTGCAGCAGCTTTTGAGACAGTGGCAGGGTCCTGCGTACACAGGCACTCAGTGAGTATGGGCAGAGGGTCAGCTGCCATGGCCAGTCCTGTGGTGGAGTGGGCTCCAGGCAATGCCAAGTGCAGTGGGGCTGGGCCACTGGCCTCAATGACACTGCTGTCAGGAGATTATGACTCTTATAACTGAATGCAGATTTCAGTTGTATTTAAATAACTTACCAAACCCACTGGAATTTTCCTTTCATTTCTTCTCCGAACAGTTCCTCTCTGATATAATTAACAAGAACCCCAGGCATGCAACTCTTTCCTTTGCAAACCGATTTCTGAGACTGAACATAATGTGAGCTGAGAAGAAGCTGACAGGCCCAGCATCCATCCAGTACTTACTCGACATCCACAAAGATGTTCGGTGGCACCTGCAGGAGGCGGGCGACCTCGTCCATCAACTGCTTTCCCTTGTCTGGGCTCAGGGGGCTGTGGAGAGAGAGGAGGGGCAGCATTACCAAAGAGCTCATCCATGCTTCAGAAGCTGGGAGTCCCTGGGGAGGCCCTGAAGCCTGCAGCTCTGACACTGGCATCCTACTCTCAGAGGCCTGGGATCAGGTGCTTCCTCAGGCATGATGAATCACCTGAATTTTCCAGCAATAAGACAGACAATACAGTGCAAATGGAATTGTTAGCAAGTGTAATGGGCCTATGATGCCACACTGGCTCATCTCGGCCTTCAATAAAAACATAATAAAGAGAGCAGAGGGAGGGAGGGGAACAACCGAGACAGAAAAAGAGGGGACAGAGTGAAGACCAGATGCTGAAAATTGGATTGTGGGACAACATTGAATGTGCAGAGGAAGCAGAGATTTTATGTGGACTCATTTCTACAGTGAATGGTAATCCCAGTGAAGAGGGATTTAAACGCTGGCATAAATGGTGGGCCAAAGCAGGTGCACCTTCAACAGCGCCTCATTAAAAGGTCATGAGTGGATGTCTCAGGAGGACACTGCAGTGAAAGACTCCCAAGCAATCAGACAGGAAGAGCTGCTTGGTTCAAGGCAGTGATCAGTAACCACATGGGACTTGACGTTACCATTACAAACTCTGATCCACGATTCAGTCTCACAAATCACAAGCTGCCTGTGAAATCCCATTGGTACCAGTCCAGAAGTATTAATTTAGTCTCATGACAGCAAGGCTTTCAGCCTTGCCGAGTGTCCACTGCTCTGTTCACTCAGCAGACGAGGAAGAAGGGATGCCTCAGTCAACAAGAAGAGCACAGCCCTGCCTTCACGTGGGGGGTATATGCTCGCCACCAAAAAAGAAAGGTTAGCTTGTCAGTACGGGTTGAATGGTGTCACCCAAGAATCTATCTGCTGAAGTTCCAAAGCCCAGGTAATGTGAGCTTATCTGGAAATAGGGTCCTGTTGGGGTTGGGGATTTAGCTCAGTGGAAGAGCGCTTGCCTGGCAAGTGTAAGGCCCTGAGTTCAGTCCCCAGCACCAAAAAAAAAAAAAAGGAAAAAAAAATGGAAATAGGGTCCTGCATTCTTAGTCACTAGCATGGCCTCTAATCCAGTAATGGTCACTGGTACCCTCATCAAAGGGGAAACTGGACACAGGTGTGTGCAGGGGAGATTATGTGAAGACACAGGGTCTGTCTGCGGTCACCAACGCCTGGGACAGACCCCCTCTGCCCAGCCAGCACCTTACCCAGGAGGGGTGAGTGCCGTTGTTCAAGCCACCAGGCCTATGGTACCTTGGCAGGGCTACCTGAGCAGACTGATGCACACATCAATGGGTGAATTCTATGGAGGAAAATTCAGGGGGATGTAGAGTGGGGGATGGGGAAGGGACAAAGGAGCTATTTTGGAAGGGGGTTTCTCCACACTGAGGCCACACTGAACAGAGCAATTTGGCATTAGGCAGTGAAAAAGGCAGGTGCAGGGGTGGGGCAGTCGGGAGGGGATGTCAGAGCTATGGGAGAATGGCCCTCCCAGGATGTGCACAGGAGAGAGTATCACCTGGACTTCCCTAAGAACACAAAGAAGTTGGGGTCCAGGGGGACAAACAGGCCACTGCAGCCACTCAGGATGATGGTCCTGGCCGGGTGGTGGGATCTGGGATTTGGAGAGAGAGATGCTGAGGCTGTGCTGACAGGATCAGCTGAGCTGAGAACATAGGAGGTGAGATGCTGCATTGAGGGCAGGCCAGGCACTGAGTGGGTACTGAGTGGGGCTGTCAGGTGGCCAGAGTTGATGCTCGTAGCTGGCCAATGGAAGATAGGTGGTACGGTGGCGTCAGCATGGAGCTGAGGGGACCTCCAGCACTCAGGGCTGGGGACATGAGGGGGAAGCAGCAGGAGAGAAAGAAAGGGCAGCCAGAGAGACAAGAAGTGAGCCAGAGAGGGCTGCAAGGAGAGAAGGTTGGACAACTGGACCATGAGGACAGAAGGACAAGCGTGCCAAAGAGTCTAGGTGAGCGGTTTCATGACATGGGAAAGACGGGCCTGATTGGTCTTCCCTGTGGCGACCAGGAGAAGGTCTCCTGGAGTGCTGTCCAAGAGTTGGCAGAGAATTGGGGAGCTGAGTCTGGAGGGGATGTCTTTAAGTGAGGATACACCAGCATATGAGCTTCCTGACTGGATGGCTGCACTGTGGGTAGAGAAGGAGGAGATAATGGCCTTGGGGAGGAAGAGGGACAGCTTGTCATGGTGAGGGCTGCTCTGGGGCTGGGCAACTGCGTGCTCTATACCCACTGAGGAACCTCAGACAGCCCCCAGGGCCTGGGGATCAGACCCCATCCATCTATGCCACACCTAGTGCCCTGTGAGGAATCAGCCACGAGTGCAGCCCCAGAGCTGGTGCAACGTCAGCTGGAGATGGAAGTCACTAATTTGGAGCTTAGGAACCCTTTTGGGAGAGAGGGACAGGAGACACAGATGGAAAGTAACTCCCACCGGATGCAGCGGTCTATAAACAGAGGGCCATATGAGTTGAGGGAATGCTGAAGGTCAGATTGTATCTGGCCCTGGACACAGCCATGCCTGCTGTGGACACAGCTGCAGACCCACTGTGGCCTGTGACCATCAGCAGCATGAGGCTCTCAGACAAACTGACCACGGGCCATGTTTCATTCATAAGCACAGATAAGAGGCACAGACTAGAGATCACGAGGAAGAGGCTGTCCCATGGTGGGCAGTGGGCTGCGTGGACACAGAGGTATGGCTGCAAGGCTGAGCCTGTCCCAGGAACCCATGACTTCCTGGGATGCCAGTGGGTCCCACATCTGCTACCCTTCCGAATCACCTGGAGTCCCCCCTCTACTGGCAAACAAACATTATCAGGATGGTAGTCCAGGATAATATATTTAACATCAAAATACAAAACCAAAATCTCTGTCCAAAGAGGACCAGCTCAGTCTGAGAGTCCCAGAGTAAGAATGTGCCCCACTCACTAAGATGAACATCTCACTAGACCAGGGTGTGGGGCCTGTGCGGACGCCCCCAGAAAACAACACACTCCCCAGGTGTGCACACACCACTCCACATACTCTAGCTCACTCTGCAAGCTTGCACAGGACCATCCACATACTCTAACACCCTTCCAAGGTGTGCACACACCCCTGCATGTACTCTAACTCACTTGCCAGGTGTATACACACCTCTAGGTGTTCCAGATGCACTCACTCGGGGCACACCAGCAAGAGGGTGGCTACAAATGCCCTAGACTTCCCTATTTTCTTGTTTGTATATCCTGAGGAGCAGTTTTGCTTGCAATGGCTGAACAGTAACATTTACACATCTCCAAAGCTGCTGTACTTCAGAGCTCCAAAATCCCATCCTGCTGCTTGACGTCTGGGTTCAGAGTGAGGGGCCTCAGGGCTTTCCCGGCTCTGACCCAGTTAGGTATCCAGGTGATCAGGGTGACAGCAGCCACACACAGACAGCTAGGACTGCATATGCTGAGAAGAACTCCAACTGTTTCCTAAGGAAGTTTAGACCGTGAAGTGACAGACGATGGCTGTGTATTTCAAAGCAAAATGGAGATAACTGTGTGCTCATTTGAGCACAATCAGAACCCTGCTATGGAGGCCCTCCCTGCCAGCAGCTGTGACAGCCTGCTATAGGGCCAGGAAAGGCACTGGTTATCCCATTGCACTTTGAGGCAGGGAAGGGACTGGTTATCCTACTGCTCAATGAGGCAGGGAAGGGATGTTTATCCTGCTGCACAGTGAGGTGGCACACTCCAACACATTCCCCAGATGTACACACCCCTCCACACTCCAACACATTCCCCAGATGTGTACAAACCCCTCCACACTCCAACACATTCCCCAGATGTACACACACCTCTCCACACTCCAACACATTCCCCAGATGTACACACCCCTGCACACTCCAACACATTCCCCAGATGTACACACCCCTGCACACTCCAACACATTCCCCAGATGTGTACAAACCCCTCCACACTCCAACACATTCCCCAGATGTACACACCCCTGCACACTCCAACACATTCCCCAGATGTGTACAAACCCCTCCACACTCCAACACATTCCCCAGATGTGTACACACACCCCTCCACACTCCAACACATTCCCCAGATGTGTACACACCCCTCCACACTCCAACACATTCCCCAGATGTGTACACACCCCTCCACACTCCAACACATTCCCCAGATGTACACACACCCCTGCACACTCCAACACATTCCCCAGATGTGTACACACCCCTCCACACTCCAACACATTCCCCAGATGTGTACACACCCCTCCACACTCCAACACATTCCCCAGATGTACACACCCCTCCACACTCCAACACATTCCCCAGATGTGTACACACACCCCTCCACACTCCAACACATTCCCCAGATGTACACACCCCTCCACATTCCAACACATTCCCAGATGTGTACACACACCCCTCCACACTCCAACACATTCCCCAGATGTACACACACCCCTCCACACTCCAACACATTCCCCAGATGTGTACAAACCCTCCACACTCCAACACATTCCCCAGATGTGTACACACCCCCTCCACACTCCAACACATTCCCCAGATGTACACACCCCTCCACACTCCAACACATTCCCAGATGTACACACCCCTCCACACTCCAACACATTCCCCAGATGTGTACACACCCCTCCACACTCCAACACATTCCCAGATGTGTACACACCCTCCACACTCCAACACATTCCCAGATGTACACACCCCCTGCACACTCCAACACATTCCCCAGATGTACACACCCCTCCACACTCCAACACATTCCCCAGATGTACACACCCCTCCACACTCCAACACATTCCCCAGATGTGTACACACACCCTCCACACTCCAACACATTCCCAGATGTGTACACACACCCCTCCACACTCCAACACATTCCCCAGATGTGTACACACACCCCTCCACACTCCAACACATTCCCCAGATGTGTACACACCCCTCCACACTCCAACA